GTCTGTAGCAGGCTTTAGTTTTTCGTACAAGAATCGTGAAAACATTTGTGCAATATACTATTTAACTTATTTAAAATTTAATTAAAAATCCACGAATTGACAGTTTTAGGACAGTTTAGGAGATGCTGGAGTGATTCTGCACTTTTGCCATCTTTTGCCACGTAACAATCAAAAATTTTCAAAAATTTCCTTATGCATATGTTTATGTGTTATACAAATTTGTTTTTTTACCTTTTGTCAGCGTCCGTAAGTTTTGGCTACGTAGTTCATGTCCACGTTTTCAATGTCCACAGAGGGCGTGATGCGTTCGGGGATCACGTAAAATCGGTCCGTGGCAGCTCTCAAGCCTCTCTCTTCTATGAGTGTCAACATAACCAGGACGGGAGAGTGCACGTTTTGCACGGTATTTTACAAGTAAAAACGCGAGATCGTCATCGAGGATAAAAGTAATTTTGCAGTGCGAGGGAGCAGACATGAGATTGACGTTGAGCCTGCTAAGACAACGCGTGGGAGAATGGTCGAAAAAATATGCGAATCTACCGGACAGTTACATAAATCGAGCTATGGCACAGGTTTGTCAAGTTGCTTTAGGCCCGGTTTCACCAAACGTAGCTTAACTTTGATCTTAGTTTAATTCGCGTTTGTCTCTTTCTAAAGTAACATTTGGAAAGAGATAGAGAACGAATTAAACTAAGCTAAAGTTAAGCGACGTTGGTGAAACCAGACCTTAGTCTGCACAATTTAAAAAACAATGTCTATGTTGTACTCGTGATGTTTAACAATGTCATGAATCAACTTAATCGGCGATTAATTTAACGCTAATAGAATCGCTTGAGGCCAAATTGTGCAAGGTCTTAACGGCATCCTGCAGACAGTTCTCTATCCTGTTTGTGAATTTTTATATTATCATTTATTGTAACAAGGTTTATTGGAGGACACCTCGCAGGCCGAATTATTTGCCACGCACATCCGAAAGAAAACGGTTTCGCTTCTCCATACATCGTCCATGGACTAATCAGTTTCAACGTGACAATGCACCTGGTCTACATCCAAAATTTGTTCACGTGGAACCTATCAAGAATTGGACCTTCTTCCGGGGTGATAGGGTGTGTTATTTTACTGGCAAAAGTTTCTACGAGAAGTAAAGAGAAAAGAGACGACAGTAATATTATTTCAGTATACAATTATTACAACGTTATTCGTACAGTGTTACATTTTTCTGTCCAGGTAGAGGTTTTAGTAGGGAAAGATAAAGGGAAGCAAGGAATCGTAAAAGAGATTTATCAAGAGAGGAATTGGGTAATTGTCGAAGGACTTAATACAAAGCTGAAATGCACTATGAAGAGTAAAACCTTTCCTGGAGTGTACATGCTGATAGAACAGCCGCTTTTGGTGACGTCGCAGGTGCAGTTGGTTGACCCTTCGGATAGGTCGGTGTCTATTTGAAAAATTTATCTTGCGAAGATGAGAGTATGTAGTACCGATGCTTCCACGGCACCATACAAATTGACTCGTTGCAGGCAGGGGACACCAATAGAGTGGCGATACACTGAGGATGGCAGGCCTATACGTGTATCCGTGAGAACTGGTAGAATAATTCCCATTCCTGTCGTGTCTGAAGAGACGCAGGATTACAAACTGCCTCGGTTGTATCTGGAGCGCGCAAAGGATACGACTCAATCTGAAGTAGAAAAAATAACTTATGAGGTGTGCATTAAATACCTGGAATACACCCGCATTTCTTTTTGTAGGGCTCGTTACAGTAAAAAGTTGAAGATGACAATAATATAAGTTTTATTGTAACGTTTAGAGTAACACAAATTTTGCATAGAAATGTTTGAAATAGAAAATTAAACGCACCCTTTTTTTTATTACAGCCAGCATTGAAAACCTTCGAGATGGATATCATGGAACAAATGGAGATTAAAGAGGATCGTATTCCAAAGAAATTTTATTGGTATTAATCAATATTATATACAATTCTCGCTGTTATTAATGTACAGCTATAATATTTAATAAATATATTAAGCGAACAAAGGGATGGGAACATATTTCTTTTTTAGTATATAACTCGACAAACTTCTCGTTTTTTTTAATGACAGAAATGCGCGGAAATTGAATTCTCTGATACGATTCATCTTAATTTAATAATTGTAATTTTCCTCTTTTATATTGCAATTGTCTTTATCTTTAACGAAAGCTATATTATCAAGTGTCCCTGTTTGCAACGCTTTGTATAGAAGATACGCAATAAAACGAGCATTTATAACATTAAACAATAAAAAAACGAACAATTCAGTGCTTTATATATATAACGAATTTACATTGAATTAAAATACGTAATAATATTGATTAGTATCTCGATCAATAGTTGCTTGTTTTATGCTAAATCGTGTCATTCACACATATCACAGCACAAAATTTTAATAAATGCAAATCCCGAAACGCTTCGTATTACATTTAAATATATTCCGATATAATCTTTTATATTAATAATCTGTTATGTATGACACTTTTCCCATAACTCGGCGCATTCGTAATTCCAATTGAGATTGAGCTAACGATCGATCGGTCCGCGTTTCTATGCCGTGGGAAAAAATTCATGGCCATACGGACACAAGACGAGATGGTATTTCGAGGATTGAAATATCAGAGGCCAGTTTCGATTTGATACATTCAAACGTCCTAATTCTCACAATTCAAATCTAATAGAGCGGGTTGACGAAACGTCAATTAAGCCTAATATTACATTTGTCGTACGACAAATTTTTCAAACGTGTTGACTGCCGAACAGTAAAATTCTCTATTTAGCAGCTGATCAACACGCTTGGAAAAATTTATCCTACGACAATTGTAATATTAGCCCAAGGAGCCTATTCTGTAAACGTTAACATCATTAAGCGCTTTGCGCAGACGCGATACGCTAAAGAAAAGCTGCGCAAAGCGCATAGCGGCAACGTTAACGTTTACAGAATAGACACGGTTTCACCAAACGTCACCTAACTTTAAGCCTAGCTTAATTCGTTCTTCGTCTCTTTCCAACTGTTACTTTAGAAAGAGACGAAGAACAAATTGAGCTAAGCTTAAAGTTAAACAACGTTGGTGAAAGCGGGCCTTAGGATCGATCGTTTATCTATGGGCGCACTTCACGCCGGACGCCGGACGCCGGCGCCAATTACCCTGGCGCCGGCCAGTTGGAGAAACAAAGCTACCGTACGGATTGAGCGCGCGTTTTACACGGAGATGCTGTTCCGCGGGTGGTCCGCCGTTGTCCTGGGTTTCCCTGGCGCTTCCGGATGCCGTTCGCCGAGCTCGGTGAGTCGCACCTTATCCCGCTGCGTTCTTAATAAGGACACAACAAGCGAACGCCGATCGGAAGGCGAAGCGCGCGGCGACGAGAAGCCGGGACGTTTCGCCGCTCGCGCGTTCGCCATCTTGCCTCCCCCTCGGGGGTCCCCGCGAGAGATCTCTCGTCTGAAATCACTCACGCTCCGTCCCGTTATATCCTTATTACGATATCCTGCAAAACGATAACTGCTCTCGCGCAGAGCGTCGCGATATAATCTCCCGCTGATAGCGTCAAGACGCACGCGCGCGAGCGCGGCATTCTACTCGCGTACGCGATGTCTCCGAGTGATAATAAGCATATTAAGCTGGGTGTACATCTACGGAACGAGCAGCGAATACGAATGTTTGCTGTTTCATTCGACAGACGTGTACGCCGAAGCAAATGCGAACAAAACGTTCGATTCCCTCGTGAGGCGGTGCATCAAAGATAAAAGCTGCGTTCCGACATTTACTGCCAGTCCTGAAAATGTCTAGTATTACGTGACGTAAGCTATATAGATTTTCAGCACTGGCAGCGAACGCCGCAACCAAACGGAACGAACGCCTTCGGGACGCGAACGCGCATCTTCGTTCGTAGATGTAGTCCCAGTTTTATATGCCGCTGCACCGGCTTCCTCGGGTAGCTATTGAAAGGAAGTCGCGCAGAATTAGCGCGACGCGGTTGGCGCCTTCTTCATGCCGCGAATTTAAAATTGTTGGTTATTGCGGACAGCCGCGAGACGACGTCGAAGTAGCTTCCTCTTTTTCTAAAGCTTCTCAAGTAGGAACTTGGACAACCTTTTATTCGTCGTATGCCTAAATATGAAGGAATTGATAATTTATTGATTAGGATTTATTATATAGTGTTGAATGAAATTTGATTTTGATTGAATAAAATTGGTTTTTTTTATGAATCAAGTGCGTCAGTTTAGCAATATTTAAATGTTTTTGAAAAGCGCACCACTGTTAGCTTGAAAATAATTGAAATTTCCACTTGAGAAACTGTAGACTTTAGCACGAAACTATTCCGCGCCTGATTTTATCGCAACTTCGATCCCCGATTGAGATAATTAGCGATTAGTCTTCTAAAGCGGCGCTACTTTATGAACGTGAATGAAACAGTCGGGTTTTCTTGTTTAATGCACGGAGAGAAAAATTGGATTAGAGATAACGATTTATATATTTGCAATGTTACCGCCAGTTGAGAATTAATCGCTAATTAAGTTAATTAAAGTTTAATCGAAGTCGTATTAAAAGTTAGAAAACTGAAACGATCTCTCGCGTTACTTTCTCCCACGTTGCTATACAACGCATCAATTCTGACCACACAGTTTCGTATGAAAATGTACTATCGTTCGTACCTTAACGTAACAGGAACCACTATAGTAAGGCGACGGGGTGGCTACGGTAAAATCGATTAGAAAATAGAAATAGGCGATCTACAGTCAGGCTCATATTATAACTATCTACTCAGCTACTTTGCTTGTTGCAAATTCTTAGTTCAAACTATTACTGCACGGCCGGCACTATGGAATTAATGTCGTACGAGCGATTCGTATCAAGGACGCATCGCCTTAATTAAATGATTAATTGACACGCCTATCTATACTTCGCTCCAGTGACATTGCGATTCGCTTGCGTATGGCATACATCGAAATTCCCACATACACCTCGTTGTCAAAACACATATGCTATTATTAAGACGCTACATCGCTGCTTCTCGTTCGAGTTCGCAGAGCGAAGATATTACTCCAAATATTGCTTAATCATTGCCTGTTGATTACGACTATTGCACTTTGCACTGTCAATTTTAATTGGAAAGCTGCAGCTGTTAAGTCTTTTCGCGATACTGATTCTATTGCGATGAAAAAAAAATACCGAGACCATTAGATTGTAATGCTCTCTAATGGCCGCTAATTTGCACATATTCGAAAAGCACATTCACTGCACCATTTTACTCTTTTCACGCACAAGATCTACGAAAGGCAAACTAAATGAGCAAGTCGCACAGACTTGCCACTTTTTCTTATTTCTCTTCTTTTTTTGGTTAATTAAATTGTCCGTTGAATTTATAATAGATGGCTATGCAATTATAAGAACGGTGAATAGCTATTGGTTGATATAGAAATAGATCCTAGAAAATAGATAATTGCTTTTCATTAAGAGCGAGATTGAGCGTTTGATTTTGACTAAACAGCGACATCGTTTGAATTTACAAGCACGACAGAAAAAGCCTCTCGCGTAGAATATCGATTGGTATTTAAAATCTCTCGAACAAAACAAATGAATAACATACCTTATTAATAATGTATACGTAACAAATATCGATCGAAAACTTATCCAGTCGCTCGCTTGGCACATTTCTCTACGTTCCGTTTGCATCGTGCGATCGGGATTTCGTACTCTTCACGAGGATTTGGTGGCAGGATGCCTGACTAGCAGATTCACTTCGCCGTCGTGGAGCTTCTTCATGAAAGACCACGCTTCTATCCTCGACATTCGCGTTACGTCGTTACCGTTTACCTCGAGCAATTGGTCCCCGGCTTTCAAGGCACCCGTTTTCTCGGCAGCACCTCCTGTCGTAAAAGACAAAGCTGAGACAAGGCGTAAATATTATCTCACGTTTATCATTTCAACGTAAGGATCGTTGGAATGACATGTGAGCATCGTCCGCTAGAAAATTTACCGGTGAAAATCTTCTTGATGATTAGAGGTTTATCCCCGAGGGGACTATCCCTGCCGCCCTCCAGGCTAAATCCCAGTCCGGCTCCGTCCTTGTAAACCGCCACGGTCGACGGTGGCCCCCACGCCGTGTTCTCCACGTTTCCATTCGTCTCTAACCCTGTGCGATCCGAGGCCTCTTATTTACACCGATTCCGTTATCGTCAAAACGGATCGTGAGAATTCTCACGCGAGAAACGCATATTTGTTTTACCTTCGACGATGGTTTCGACACTCGCGGTTCGCGACCTCAGCTTACAGCCCTCCTCCATCCTGACCCTCGACACGACCAACACGACCTCCGATCTCGGCTGCTTCAGCACCGCCATGCTCTCCCTGTGCGTGAGACCTCGCGTGCTCCGACCGTTTATGCTGAGAATCCTATCGCCCCTCTGCACCCGGCCGTCTTTGTCCGCGATGGAGTGTGTCAGCACTCGGTGAACCGTGATCTCCTTCACCTCGCAGTCCGCGCCGCCGGCCAAAGTGATGCCGACGCTGCCGGTCGGGTTCTCCTTGTGGAGTAGAACGACTATGACGTCGTGCGCGCCACGTGCCTCCTCCAAGCTCGCCTCCTCGACGAGCTGCGCCAGTTCCTGTTGCGAGATCAGGCTGGTGCTGCTGGCCAGCGAACTGATGCTGCCGAATTGCTCGCCGTAGCACCTGTCGGCGGTGTCCATTTCCGTACCGATGTTCTCGTCCACGCTGCTGTCCAGACTTGGAAAACGATTGTGAGTACCGCTGGCGGTCTGTTGCAGCTGGCTGTGTACGGGATTCGTGTCGATCTTCTCCAGGGCTTTCTTCATATCCGTCACGCTGGCGCTGCGTCGATTCAGGCCACGGCACGTCGGAATCTTCGACGCCGGTGCGCTTTTCATTCTTTCGACGCTCTCCGACATTTCGTCACCGCTGTCCACAGTTTTGACTCTCCCTAAAGTTGGTATTTTTGAGACGAAGGGTTTGTCTTCCGTCCAGGACTCGTTCGAAGTAGTGGAGCCTCTTCTACCGTATCGACTTTCTTTGGAGTTTTCGTAAACAGGCTTCACCGGCGAGCTTGTTATCGCACCGTTTTTCTCCATTTTCGACTCTGTATTTGGCGCGCGGGTTAACTTGAGGTCCGGCTTAGCGCCAAGTATATCCTCCAGGCTCATCTGGCTCTTCGACCTGCCGAAAGTCCCTTCGTCGACATGTATGGCTGATCTGGAGCGGCTCTTCGTCGTTAGGATGGTCAAGAGATCGTTTTGCTCTTCCACACTTTTTCTGGGAGTCGCTCTACTTTGTGGTTTCGACGCCTCCATCGCGGTCACCTTCGTATCGCTTACCGTGATTCTGCCCTTTGAAGACAAATCGTCGTTGGATTCTGCAATCACGGGCTCGTTAAACATGGACCCGCGATTGTTTCTCGTTTCCAAGTTTTGCGTCGCAACGGGTGGGCTTTTCGACTTTTCTTCCATCGATCGCGACAGGGTCTTCACCTCCGCTCGAACCCACATTTTCAGATCGTTCGATGGCTCCAACATTTCGGACTTAGGCGGTCTAATAGCCGGCGGCGGGAAACTCATTTTAGGCGGCAGTTTAGGCTTCTCCGTCCTCTTCGAGAACGAGCTTTTATCCTCCGCAAAGGGGTCCGCGACTTCTATGTAGGCAATCTTGATCTCTTGTTTGCTCGCGGAATTGTTTACGGTATTATTGCTCATCGGATGAATAACGCCGCCGTTCTCGATGACACCTTTCGCAGCATCTTCGTCGTCCGAGAACTTTCGCTGGATCAGCGGCGACCCGTTCAGATCCCTGCCACTTCGGCATCTGGCACTCGCTAGGATATTCTTCCGATTTATCGCCTCCACGCTTTGCGGCTTCAGTACCCTTCGGGATAAGGACTCGGCACTCGCCTGAGATCCGGATGTGAGCGTCGAGGACGTGCTGCAATTTGTATCGGTGCTGTTCGATCGCCTCAGTTGTCTCTGAGGGATCTGCGAGCCCCTCGACACAAGCTCGTTCGGCTGTGGCGAGCGCGGATTCGAGCCGCTGCTGCTGGAAGACGATCTCTCGGCCAGGTACGTTCGTTCACCGAGGACACCTATCCTGGGGGCAAATTGATCTTTGTCGGATGCAACAATCGGATCTCTGATATCCCGTGCGACTGAGATTCTACTCAAATTGTCCGCGATCAAAGGTCGACGTTGGCAGTTTAATTCCGTGGAGACGTAAGATCTCTCCGACGAAATGGTGGATCTTTCCGATGGTACCGGAGACATCGGCGGACTGAAGCCGCGCGATATACTGCTCTGGGAGCTGCTCACAGCCGAATCATTATCAGAGTCGTCGTAATCTAAGCGTGCCTTCCTCTGCATCGTCCTCGGCCGCGTACGCGAACCATCCGGCGAGCTGGTCGTCGAAGCGAACTCGAAGCTGTAATCGCTTCTCGTCGGGCTGCAAATACTTTCCAGGCTTTTCGGCGGCTCCGAAAACGTGGACATCGCCGGTGATTGAGAGCTCTTGATCGGACTGCTGCCGTTTATCGCGGAGCTTGTCACTGAAGTACCGTAAACCGTGAGAGACTTTCTCTTGAAAGCCGGGGAGTACTTGGAGTGTATCTGTGGCGCCGGCATCTTGAAGGACGTTGTCGCTTTCAAGGGCTGACTCGCCGTGCTGACATTGCTGGCTAAGGAACTCTGAGACCCCCATTTGTCTTGAATGTTTGCCTTTGGTATCTGGAAAAGAAGACGTATGTTTAACGAGGCATTATTTTTCATATTTCTGCGTGCTTGAAACGGAGAGATGTTGGACAGTGTTCGTAAAAATGGATTTCTACAAATAACAGCTGATAAATTTTGCAAAAGTTACATCACGAAATATAAACGTTAAGAGCAAGGAATTGCACAGGGTTTGGAATAAAAATGGAAGATTACAGTACGTTTAAAATCTCACCTGATGCAACAATATCGAATCCCGCGATTTGATTTCCGGTAGATCGACGATAGGTTGGTCGATCGGTACGGTATCTTTTTCCGGTATGACCAGCCCACGTAGCTTCGATATCGATCTTCGTCTCTGCTCAATCAGCTGATTCAAGCTGTTTCTTCTCGCATCTTCTCCGGGTCGTTTAAACGTGGACGCCAAGGAATTCGTCCTTGAGATTTGTGAGTTACCGATGGAATCGCTTGCCAGAGAATCTCGATTTTGCGTGAAGGGTGTCGGGCCTGAGAAACTGGTAGCTCGCGTTAACGAAGGCGTGCTCGTTGTCTTGACCGAGTTGCTAGAACTGTTACAAGAACCCACAGCTTTACTGACACTTGAATACACGGCATTCTGCAAATTGCCGTTTTCGGCGGCGCTCGCGCCATAATTTTTCGTCGTTGTATTTAAAAAGTTCTGCTTGTCATACGAGGACGGACTGGACAGCGATGTAGTTTTCGGCGGAACGATCGGTAGCGTCTTTGGAACCCGCGCAGTTTGCGTAGTTGAACTCGACAGAGCAGGTTGAACAGTCTGTGGCAAACTAGGCGGTCTCTGGTTATATTTCTTCGCGGAATCATGCCCTGTCATAGCTTTCGCCGAATCGGTGAGGTCGAAGGAACTCTGTGTCCTGTCGGCAAAGAAGGACGGCCGGTCCTTCTGTCCGTTGCTCTTGTCATCGCAGCACACATCTTCGGAGGACTTGTACTTGGAGAGGCGTTTGCTGTTGTTCGTGGCTGCTGCCGCTGTCACGGTATTGGGAAATAGGGGCGCGTCAAGGCTGCTCTGCGACGAAAACATGGCGATTTTGTCGCGAACAGATCGCTCGGACTTGTCGTCTTGTCTCCAGAGATCGCCGTTCAAGGAAAACTTTCTCTGCGGCGACTCTATTGTAGGAACGTTTCTCGCGTGCAAAACTGTTTGCTCGATTTTCGGCGGACCTGCGAATTACAAAAAGCACGAAAGCGTAAGAAACGAAGATGACAATAAAAATAAGTAAAAATGCGATGTGTTTGAGATGATTTGAAGGCGAAATCAATCTTCGCGGAAATATTGAATTTAATAATTTAATAATATATTTTCGGTGTGTGTCAACATTGCTTCTCGGAGGAAAAGGAGGAGAGGATTAATCCGAAGCTAGGTATGTAATGAGCACCTGTCAATGGCAGAGGCGGCGGGATTTCAACAGGCGTGTCCTTTTCCACGTGGCTTGGCACTTGTTCGATCGTCGTCACGTCCTTGTGGTAATATCCGGCGATCTCCATTTTCTTCTCGCTTATCATTAAGTTGCTGTTAGTCGTCTGACAAGAGTAAAGGGAATTTGCCGCGCCGATGGAAGCGTTTTTCTTGGCGATATCTTCCGAGGTATGATAAGGTGATTTTTTCTCTTCGTTAGCGACCTCGGTGGACTTGACGTCTTGACATACATTATCCACACTGGCCGACGTAGCCTTGCCCATCTCGGACCGGACGCTCTCCATGTTTGCCAAAGCGACTTTGTTTAGATCCTGCCTCACGTTTTCAGTGTCTGCGAACGTCATCTTACTATCGGGTAGAATAATGCTCCTCGAACCGACAACGTTGCTGTCGTTCGCGAGCATTTTAAGAGTAGTCTCGCCAGCACGGAACGACTCGTTCTCGTTGCACAATCCTCCGCCATTCGTGGTTATCGTCGCTGTCCTTGTCGCGGCGATATATCTGTACGGTGGCTGGTTGCCACTGTTGCTGAATTCTTGGTATGCTGCTGGAAATTCGTCCCCGTCCGGGGGCAGGCGCTGGCCGCCTCCGCAGTTTTCCATCTTACCATTTACCGTGTCTGCAACAGCATTTTTCAATACATTCTCGATATCGATATGAAAATTGCAGTATTTAGAATGTACCGTGGCGACTGAAATATTTTTACGTTTATTCAAGCTATGTGGAATTTGTAGATGTAACATTTCGATGATAAAAGTTTAAGTGCCCGTAATAAAACATAGTACGATTTCGTTATGTAATTTCTTCCTGAATGCGATGTAATAAAAGATAACAGAAATGTATATATGTAATTGCTGTTCCCATTACGTTTTAACAACCTATCGTTTGTATAAGAGTATCCGTTTCATTTTCTGATAAGCTAGCAATTGAAGGTAGAATTCACGTTGGTGGAATTTCAACAGCGCTATCCCCGTTGTTCAGTTCGCGCGAGTTCTCGTAAGAGATTCGGAAATGGTTTACTCTTTGTACGGCCTTTTTCAAGTCACACATTTATGTAAAAAGTCAGTCCATTAAGAGTTCTTCTGTACACATTGTACAATTCTCCCGCTTTAAGGTAATATATACTATTATGTTGTGAGAGTCCTCTCGGAAAGGAAGTGCATCGGTAAAAATATTTGCACCATTAATAGCGACCTAGCAAACCGCTCTCGGGTGACTCATCGCGCATATATCAACTCGTTATACATCGCGGTTTTAAAAAATGACATCATCTCTTCAATTTTCCATGATCTTCGTTTGACGAATCGACCAAGCACAATTTTGCAATTCTTCACATTTGTCAGTGAATTCAATATATCCTCGAAAGAAAGCTCAGTCTCTATTAAAGCTTTGCATTTATTCATAAAATGCGAATTTTCAAGAAAAAAATTTCTCTTATTAATCTCGTCATTTATCGAACTTTTGTTTTGCTCCAACCGTCATGTTTTATCCCGAATATTTTATTCTAATTTTTTAATTTTATTTCTAAATTTGTAATTTTACATACCCAATCTTTACTCCGAATTTCTTGTCGCCAAATACGAAAACGTATATTATTTGGCTTACACAAATTTGCATGACCTCAAGGACTTCCACATTCTAAAGCCTATACTGATAAAACATTTGCGTATACGTTATCTAGTCTAAGCAGGAATATTTAAATCAAGTTACCGTGCATGACTCTTCGTCATGGATATCGAAATGTCGAATTTTATTTCGAACTTTCTTTATGTATCTGCGTTGAAATATGCATGCGTGAAAGAATATTCAACGGCGCATAAATTGCAAATCATCGGTGCATAGGCTGTCGCATTGCCGAACGCTTACGTATACGCCGTCATACCGCGAAACTCTGACTAACTTTAATTCACGGTTAATAAAGCGTGCCGCGCTAACTGCTGATTAACATTCCTGGCGTAGTGCAGTACGACGTAACTAATCGCCGATCGTATGCATGTGCAACAGATGCGACTTTCGCGCTGCTTGATGGTTTTCGATGCACAGCCAGACGATCGTACCATATTTGTACCGGTATCAGGGGACACCGCGCGTGTCATCGTGTGCGTAAATGCACACGAGCATGCGTGAATTTCGTACGTGTGTGTATGCACGAGTTTATCACGAATCCACTTGCTATCCATTCTGTACGATTGGAAAATTTATTTTTGATAATTAGTTACGAGAACCCGACATCTGCACGCAGTATTCAGTAATAGAAATGCAAACGCATGACAATAAATATAATATGTGCAAATCAAGAGAGGAATATTTCCTTGAAATAAAACTTGCTTCTTGTGCTGTCTCAAAGTGCTAGAATAGTAGAAAATCATCGCAAGTGTCGGTCGTACCGTGTTCCCATCTGCGTTTGGCAAATATTTGATTACGAATTTGTGGCGAAGTTATAATTATCGTATCATTATCGGTTAGCAATCGGTTAAAGAAATTGTTACAAGTAAATTGAGATCTTATCTGTTATTCCTTAAATTAGCGTCATTTTACAGTAGGCTATTGCGAGAGTCTGCGAGACTGAAAGACAAATATATGAAAGCTCGAGGCTGCACAC